CTATCAACAAGGCCTCCACGAACCTGGGTACGCAGGCTGTCACCAACCTCCATATCCAATGCATGTACGAATGCAATGTAGACACCACAGTTGGGTGCTATACCAAACATCAGCTGGTACTATATTTAAAGGACAGAGGCATTTCAAACTTCTTCTGTTCTCTTCACAGCATGTTCCAGTGCCCAGGGCACTTGGTGACACTCGGAGGGAACCCAGTCTGCACCATAATAATATGTTGGTTGTACACAAACTACTTCATGGTATGTGGAGTTCTGCACCACCTTACTCATAGGTGGTGGTAGTTCATGGTACACTAACATACTGTCATACGGTGAGTTGGTTGTTGACAAAAATACCTAAGCTATGTGTATTCTGACAGCACAACCTATAGGCTGTTGGTGTTCAAACATTACTTCGATGTGCAGTTCGACACGACAGTACTTAGGCTATGTTGGTATGTTTCTACACTACATATCAAGGCTATGTGGTGTTCGTAATACATACTTCTGGCTGTGGTATGTTCTGTACACTAACTTAGGCTGTGTAGTCGACACAGAGTCAGGCAGTGGTGATGTCCACATTCTCATAGGCTTGGGAACTGTCTGTCCCATCCTCAGGCTATGTGGAGTTCTGACAAACATTACTCTAAGGCATCTGGATGCTTCTCATCTACTCATAGGCTGATTGAGTTTACACAACTACTCATGAGCATGTGTAGTCTGACACATACTCATAGGCGTGTTTTTCTACACTAACATTACTAATGGCATATTGGCATTTGACACTGACATTACTTCAAGGTATCTGTATGTTTGTACATCTAACATTACCATGGCTATTGTATTCGTCTAACATTACCAAGGCATGGTATCGTCACTAACCATACTGTAGGCATGTGCGTAGTTCGTAGATAACATTACCTCATGCTATGTTGGAATTCTGTACACTACATTACTTCATAGGCATTATGTCTTAATATTTAAATTATCTCTCTAACATACTCAAGGCTATGTTGTTTCTGTACCTAACATACTCATAGCTATGCTGGCAGTCTGCCCCAGGCATTGTGTACACTCATTCTGGAGGGAAACCCAACAGTGCCCATTACTTCATAGGCTATGTTGGTATGTTCTGTACACTAACATTACTTCATAGGCTATGCTGGCATGTTCTGTACACTAACATTACCTCATAGGCTATGCTGGCATGTTCTGTACACTAACCACACATCTGAAGAAAGATAATTTGCTTATGAAAAAGTCTTAAAACACAATTGCTTACTAGCGCCTGAATCGTTCAGCTACAAACAAACACTGTACAGTCTTGTCATTTGCTTAACATATTTTTGATATCCAGCTCAAAGACAGTCGATGTATACACTGAGTATACCAAACATTAGGAACACCTTCCTAATATTGAGTTGCACCCCCCCCCCCACCCCCCTTAAAAATCCTTCTTTAACCTGTCTCCTCCCTTTCCATCTACACTGATTTGAAGTGGATTTAACAATTGAAAAATAAAATAAAAAGATAATGTAAGTCGCTCTGGATAAGAGCGTCTGCTAAATGACTAAATGTCTCCTGCTGCTAAGTAGAGCATGTTGTCCTCCATTTCCCCCCCCCCCAGGAGATGAGCTTATCTACCTGGACCCCCACACCACCCAGCCTGCAGTAGAGCCCTGTGAGGACAGCCAGGTCCCTGACCACACCTACCACTCTCAGCACCCGCCCTGCCGCATGCACATCTGTGAAATAGACCCCTCCATCGCAGTGGTAAGAGAACCAGAGGCGGGGCCTATGTGGGTTTTAGATCAAAGAAGGTAGAACAATACTTTAGCTCGCAAACACTTAGCTCGCAAGTACAACTCGATTTTTCTGGGTGACCTAAATATTGACTGGTTTTCATCAAGTTGTCCACTAAAGAAAAAGTGTCAAACTGTAACCAGTGCCTGCAATCTGGTTCAGGTTATCAGTCAACCTACCAGGGAATATACAGACAGCACAGGAAAGAAAATCAGCCACGTATTGATCACATCTTTACTAATGCTGCAGAAATCTGCTCTAAGGCAGTATCCGCATCCATCGGATGTAGTGATCATAATATAGTAGGCACATGTAGAAAAACCAAAGTTCCAAAGGCTGGGCCTTAAAATTGTGTATAAGAGATCATACAAGAGGTTCTGTAGTGATTTCTATGTTAAAGATGTAAAGAATATTTGTTGGTGTAATGAGGAGCAATCAGACACTGCACTTAATGCATTTATTGAATTGAGTCTTCCAGATACTGATAAGCATGTACCCATTTAAGGGATACTTTGGGATTTTGGCAATGAAGCCCTTTATGTACTATAGAGCAAAAAATGGCCTCATACACGGTGTAAAAAAAACAAACATTTAAGAACACCTTCCTAAAATGTAGTTGCGCTCCCTCCCGCGTTGCAGTTCCTGATACAAACCGGTGCTCCTGGCAGCTACTACCATACCCCATTCAAAGGCACTTAATGTCACACATACACAATCCATGTCTCAATTATCTCAAGGCTTAAAAATTATGATTTAAACTGTCTCCTCCCCTTCATCTACACTGATTTGAAGTGGCTTTAATAACTGATCATAGCTTTCACCTGGATTCACATGGTCAGTCTGTCATGGAAAGAGCAGGTGTTCTTAATGTTTTGTACACTCGGTGTATGATAACAAAAAGTAAAACAAAAAATATATAAATAAATATTTTGGGAGAACCCTGTTTCCAGTCATTGCACTAACGCTAGTTAGCAACTTCCTACAAACTTCATGCAGAGACATACAAATTGTATCCACGAGTTCATCTGACTCTGGGGAAGTAGATAAAAGGGCTTCATTGCTAAAATCCCTGATTATCCCTTTAAGAAACTGACTGTATAAACTGCTAAATCCCTGTGGATTGAGGAGGAATTGAAAAATTGAGGGACGAGGCAAAAGGAACAGCAAATAAGTCTGGCTGCAACAGCCGATTGGCAAACGTACTGTAAATTGTGAAATCTTGTGACCAAACAAAAATAATAAACTGTACTATGAAACAAATACATTATATTAAGGATGATAGTAAAACGCTATGGAACACCTTCAATTAAATTTTGTTCAAAAAGGCGAACTCAGCTCCATGACTGAAAGAAATCGATAATAAGAAGATTGTGGGAGCTGTTTTGTTAAGACTTCAGTGCAGCTTTTGACATTTATCGATTATTATCTGCTGCCGAAAAAAAATCAACATCTGTTATGGCTTTACATCCTCTGCTATATTGTGGATCGAGAGGTACCTGTCTAACAGAACACAGAGGGTGTTCTTTTAATGGAAGCCTCTCCAACATAATCCAGGTAGAGTCGGGCATACCCCAGGGCAGCTGTCTATGCACCTTTTTCTATCTTTCACTAATAACCTACCACTAGCATTGAGACTCAACATTATACAGGTCGGCTACCACAGCCAGACTTAACATAGAGCTGCAGTCAATTTTAGAATCGGTGGGAAGGATTAAGCTAGTCCTAAATATATCAAAAGCATTGTATTTGGGACAAATCATTCGCTAAACCCTAAACCTCATCTAAATCTTATAATAAAATGTGACAATTGAACTAGTTGAGGACACTAAACTGCTTGGTGAAACCCTAGATTGTAAACTGACATGGTCAAAATGTATTGATGCAACAGTAGCTAAGATGGGGAGAGGTCTGTCTGGGATAAAGCGCTGCTCTGCTTTCGTGACATCAATCAACTGAAGTCCTACAGACGTTAGTTTTATCCCACCTGGACTACTGCCCAGTTATATGTGACCGACCGGCTCGATTCGGTCTTATGTAGCAACATTTTAAATTGTGTTTTTTACATTGGATAAAAGTAGAGACTCAGAGGTAGAACATTGTATATCATACACTACAGTTGAGGAACAATGGGAAAGTAATTCTGCTTTGAAAGTTGATAAACCTCACTTTTGAGAAAATGGCCCTTGAATGTTTTGGTACACCTAGTGGAGAGCTCTTCTTTGTCTACACCCATTCAGCATCGTTCACACCCTCTAAAGCCTTAGCCCCACCCAACTCTTTTTAATGTGAGGCCATGTACTAAACAATCAAAGATTTCAAGACTAAAGGCTGGTTTATACTACGGGTGCCAGAGTGTGCTCAGAGTTCATAAACTCAGAGCGTTGTCAGATTGTCCGTTCGTAAATTCAGAGCGTTTCGCTCTCGGAGCGTTCATAGCGCACACTGGACGCTCTGGCCGAGGAGTAAGGTTGATCCAAGCGTCCTGTCCTAACAGCAGCAGTCAAGCACCCAAGCTAACTGGCTAATGTTGGCTAGCTTGCTAGCTACTTCCAGACACAAATGAGAGAACAGCTCACTCTGACCATTTTACTCGCCCTAGCAGAGCTGGTTAGGCTGTTTTTATGTTATCCAGAACGTTGGTCACTGCAACTGTGCTGCTGGCAACAATTTAATTAAGCTTCTTTGCCAACATTTACTGACACCGGCCATATTCAACGGGTATTGAGCGTTCATCAATTTGTCAGTTATTCTGCGCTCTGGCACACTCAGACGAGAGTTCTCTGAAATCGGAGTAGATAGCCAGAGCGAATTTACCAACTACGTCTATCAACAGTTGTCGCAGTGACATCATGAACATTCTATTGAAATGGTTACTTGCATAGTAGTGGAGTCTTTTGTTTAGACATGTAGCTAGCTAGCTAAACAATTAACCATAATCCCAACTCATAACGTTACTACCCTCAATGAATCTGTAGGTAGCTAACCAACTATGTTCAATGTTAGCTAGCTAACATTAGGCTATAATTAGCAATGCAAATGGCTCTGAGATACGAATAATATAACTACACAGATCATAAACGTAACGTTAGTTAGCTAGGTAACAGTACACTTTAACTTAAAATGAAAACAACTTTTTGACTAAATTAGAAACGTGTAATATCTGAAAATGTAGCTAACTAGACTATCTTACCCGTATACATGGATGGACGCTTCTCCCTCTCTGTCACGGATGCCATGGTTGCCCTTAGTTTGAAGATGTAATCCGGAGACAGGTGTTTTATACAACAGCCTTCTGTGTGTTCTATTTTCGACTCCGTCTGCATATTTGCCAGAATGTTCTCCATCTCCTTAGCTATCATACTCTAATTCCACTGATTTCAAAACTCGGTCCTCCAGAAAGTGGAGAGCAACACTTATGTAGTTCTACTATGTGATATCTTTCAAAAAAGCCAAGTTAGAAAGGATTACCTACACATACTGAGCAGCTCATGTTATAGACAGAAGCATGCTACATGGCAGACCAATCCGAACTCATCTCTCGGCATGTCCAGCCCATCCATTATCTCAGCCAATCATGGCTAGCGGGAAGGTTGCTGTCTTTTTCAAATCAAAACCAAATCAAATTTATTGGTCACATACACATGGTTAGCAGATGTTATTGCGAGTGTAGCGAAATGCTTGTGCTTCTAGGTCCGACAGTGCAGCAATATCTAGTATTTTGTTAATGTAAGAAGTAATACATAAAAAAACAAAATACTGCAAAGTTTCCTAAGGACTAGAAGCGAGGCAGCCCTCTCTGTCGGTGCCATCTATCTATTTATGTGGCTAAACCAACTAGGTTCGTGATTTAACCATTTTATTCGTATTTACAGATCGCATACAAGTTTGTTATTAAGGCACATGAAAGTTCACATGTTCCAGAAGGCATTTCTGCCAAAAAACGCATTGATTAAAATAAAATAGAAATTACATTCAAATGGCTCTCCTATGAAGTAGTGACGTGACGTGCGACATACGCCTAGTTTCCTGAAACGAGTCACATATGGTCAAGTGCCACAAAGAAGAACATTTGGGCCAGCTGTGCACAGCTGTGTACACAGAGGGCTAATATCAATAACATGTCAATCTATCCTGCCTCAAAAGTAGAGGAGAGATTGACTGCATCATTACTTGTCTGTGAGAGGTATTGGTGTGTTGAAAGCACCAAACTGTCTGTTCAAACAGCTAACACCCATACATACCCCACAAGACATGCCACCAGGGTTCTCTTCACAGTCCAAGTCCAGAACAGACATCAAGTAACTCAAGCGAGCAGTAAAATCAGATTTAAAAAAAAAAACATAACTCAAGGCACAACGTGGACGGTGAAGAGACACCAACACACACACTAACGCAAGCACTCTAGACACACATTGTAATGTTGTGGTATTGTGGATTTTATATTGTACAGTTGTAATAGAGTAGTAATGTATTTGTATGATGTAATGTTTAATTTACAGTGTAGGCTGTTATGTTGTGCTGTAACTGTTTTAACCATGTTTGGACCCCAGGAAGAGCTAATGGGGATCCTAATAAATACTAATGATAGCATTAGCAAAAGCTCATTCTGCTGACCACTATTTGAAGTGAATGGCTAAATGCCTCTACGTTGGTTATTTATGATTCCAGTTCGATAGATGTGTTCTATTTTGCTGTAACAGATTTGTTTTAACACAGTAAAGCAGACATCCTACAGTTGTCCTGTTTTCTGATGTTTACCAGGGTTTTTTCTGCAGAACGGAGGACGACTTTGATGACTGGTGTATGCGCATCCGTAAGGTACGTTACACTGTTTCTTCTCTATGCGGTACAAATACTGAGGTTAAAGAAAAAAATCCACCCAAAACCACTCATTCCTTTACTTTACATTTTTAAATAACACTATGTGAGGACAATATGTTTTGTGAACAAATGTTTCATTTTGGCATTATAATAAGGTTGGTAGCAACATGGAAAATCGTTGTGGAAATCTGTTGCAGCTCAAGTCGACTACAAAATCCACAATGCAATGCTCTCTCTATGGGCTGGCTAGCTAGCTAGCAACCGTAGCTACACACAATAATACCAAAGACATTTTACATTTTAGTCATTTAGCAGACGCTCTTATCCAGAGCGACTTACAGTTAGTGAATACATATTTTTTTATACTGGCCCCCCGTGGGAATCGAACCCACAACCCTGGCGTTGCAAACGCCATGCTCTACCAACTGAGCTACATCCCTGCCGGCCATTCCCTCCCCTACCCTGGACGACGCTGGGCCAATTGTGCGCCGCCCATGAGTCTCCCGGTCGCGGCCGGCTGCGACAGAGCCTGGATTCGAACCAGGATCTCTAGTGGCACAGTTAGCACTGCGATGCAGTGCCTTAGACCACTGCGCCACTCAGGAGACAAGACAATATCAGCATGTAAAGTAGCTAGTTAGCTGAAAATCGCCTAAACAAACTACACTGTCAATTTGGTCTACAAGCTCACCATGTTCAACCTGCAGATCGATGTGCCTGGAAAACCTTGCCTATGCTACGTCAATGGGCCGTGCGGTGCATTCTGGCCGATTCTGGGACAAGGAGTGAATGGGAGTCAATTGGGAGCTAGCAAAACATTTTTTTTTTAAAGCACGAATTTCATCAACAAGAAGTACAACATTACAAATCTTTAAATATTGCAAAAAAAATGATCAATGGCTCATTCGAGAGAAGACATTCTGCCGAGTTATGACATCGGCCAGTATTGAAATCTGACATGTTATGATAGACGTTTTCACGATCTTAAAGTCGTATTCCCGATCTTAAAGTCGTATTTCCATTTAACTTCCAGTGTCATGAGAGCGACTTTATCACAGTGCTACGTCATACTGGCCAGATTGACTCTGCACCGGTACCCCCCTGTATATATAGCCTCCCTACTGTTATTTTATTTTACTTCTGCTCTTTTTTTCTCAACACTTTTTTTGTTGTTGTTTTTTTTTTACTTTTTTTTGTTAAAAATAAATGCACTGTTGGTTAAGGGCTTGTAAGTAAGCATTTCACTGTAATGTCTGCACCTGTTGTATTCGGCGCATGTGACCAATTTGATTTGATTTCCGCATGCTTAAACGCCAATAACTCAGATAAACATGAAATGACAGAACATCACTCAGATGCATAAAAACAATATAATATAAAAAAAATGTGTGAACCTTTCCTTTTTAAGAATTCACCTTGACACACAACTGAACTTCTGATCCGTTAGGAGTTAGTCCCTATTCCTCTGGACCCCAGGAAGACTAGTGGTTTCTAAGGCGTCAGCTAACGGGGATCTAAATAAAGAATGTGGTAGTTCTGCTGTGCTTCAGTTAGCCAGGCCCTTCGAGCATTGGGTCCTATGGTGCTGAGTGTACTGACTGTCCTGTCCCCCAGGTGTCCCACACTAGAGGAGGCCTGCCCATGTTTGAGCTAGTAGACCGTCAACCATCACACTTCGCCTCCTCTGTAGACGTGCTCAACCTCACGACTGGTAAATATCAAACACTTCTGTCTACAGTCTCTTGACCTGTGGGGGTTTTCGGGGGAAAGGGATATTGTGATTTATTTCTCTTTACAGATGAGGCTGGGATTCAGTCAGAGGTGCGTTGTGGACATTGCACTACCGACAAAACGCCTTTTAAAGGCAATTTCCCTGACGTTCGCAGAGATCGCATTCACGGTAAAAAAAAAAAAACTGCAGACGTTGGCTCAAGTGGACGTTACATTTAAATGTCGAGAGCTGTGTGCTAAACTACAACTCACCTTTGCTTGAATCCTGAATCTGGATCTGTGATGTGATTTTAATTATGTTGAGGACAAGATAATGTGATCTATCTTTACAGACTATACACGTGTTAAGACATTGATGTGATAATGTTGCTAAATACTAATTTCTCACTCCCTCTCCCCTGTAGATTTCTCAGATAGGTTGGAGCGGTTCTTTGATTCTGAGGATGAAGAGTTTGAGATCCTGTCCCTGTGATGAACAGGAGGAATACGGTTATTTTCCGTCCTGGCAGAACCCCAACGATTATTCTCTGGATCAGAAGGGAAGCCGTTAGGGGACAGGAGATGACTGGTGACATCACTAACCAGCCTGGCACCGATGGTGTAGTGATGTCACGGTCGCCTTCTGAGCAGCCACTTACTGCTCTCTGTGTCCAATGAGGAGACTCCTTGCTAGGAGGTGGTACTAGGTAGCAGGAGCTCAGGACACATTTTTGAGTTTCAGTCCTATGTGCATCTTCACATTGTCTCCATTTAAGTCTTAACACTTTAAATATTTACTTTAAGTCTGAGGTGTCAAACTCATTCCATGGAGGGCCGAGAGTCTGCAGGTTTTTTTGAATTAAGACCTAGACAACCAGGTGAGGGGGAGTTCCTTATTAATTAGTGACCTTAATTCGTCAGTCAAGTACAAGGGTGAAGCGAAAACCCGCAGACGCTCGGCCCTCTGTGGAATGAGTTTGACACGTGCACTTTAAGTGATATGGTGCCTTCCCCTCTCCTAAAAGCTGAATTACCATAACACACTACGGTGTTGTCAGGAACTTGGTTTACTCTGTACACTTGGCTTATGTCACTACCTGGATTAACTGATGTAAATTGTAAACCAAAAAGTGCTTGAGTGTAATTTGCAGACAAAGTAGATTGCTTGTATTATAATCTGTTCATTTAGAGCACCGTTGTCATGTCTAAAAATATATCTGTACAGAACACTGACTCATTTTAAGATTATTTATTTACTCTAACACAAAGAAAGATGAATGGACAGATGGAAATGTTAATGAAAATACAATTTAAAAAGTTACAGCTTGGACATTTCATTTAGTCGTTTTGGGCTGATTTGAAATAGTTGATTATATCGACTGAAATATCACGCGCCAACTTAAATATTGTACAACCTATATTGCATCTTCATATTCAAGTATTTTCCCTTCTCTGACCCCTTCCTCTTCTTCTCTTCTCTTTTCTTCTCTTCTCCTCCTCTTCTTCTCTTCTCTTCTTCTCTCCTCTTCTTCTCTCCTCTTTTTTCTCTTCTTCTCTCCTCTTTTTCTCTCTTCTCTCCTCTTCTTCTCTCCTCTTCTTCTCTCCTCTTCTCCACTTCTCTCCTCTTCTTCTCTCCTCTCCTTCTTCTTCTTTTTCAGTGCACAGGCACTGTCAGATGGAATCAAGGCCAGTGTGTGATCTTTCTCTTAAGAGGATAAATTATATCTAGGCTTCCTGCTCCTCAGACACCAGGGTCATGTTAATTAGGCACCAAACCGGAAAAACAGGGAGGGATTACCTAGACTTGTCCAATAAGAAACACTTTATTTTTCTGTTAGTGTGCGATAATGAAAACGACCCGGGTAGCTCACTTCCACGGGTCCTCGATAGGGCTCATTCTCTGCTGCATTGATGGAGTTTTCCACTGTGGCTCTTAACGTCTGTGTGCACATGTTCAATGTTCCTGGGAGAAGAAAGACGTACGACCCTACGGATATCCACTGATCTACAGTAGGACATAATTCAGCCTTTTGCTTGTGCTGTGTTGAATTAAGAAATGGGTGGGTTCATTAGTACACACACTGTAGCAAAACTTGAGGGCTTCTTATTGGACAAGTTCAAATAGTACCACCCCGTTTCGCTTTCGGTTTTAATCCCTTCTATACCTACTGACCACAACCCAAATCTCCCAGAGCCTCTTACCTGCCAGTTGACAGAGGGGGTCCTTCCTCGGCTGTTCAAACTTCTGCTGCGTGGCCTTCTGGAAGACGCTGGTCTCATATCTCTCTGTCCCAAACTGGCCCCCCGCTGGGCCGCCTCGGAGAGGTTGAATCTGAAGGAAATCACCAGGTCTGGCTTGGGCGTCAGGCTTCATACACCCGTCCAGACTCGAACTCTGCAGACAGACTGTAACAGCTGTTGGTTACCACACATCAGTTGAGTTACTTGACTCTTTAGCATAGCCCTGGATCTAACTACAGTAGCACTGTGCTGGTGAACGCCACAGGATACAACATGTGCCGTTATGTAGAACAGAAACGCGCAGGCTTGGCGCTGGTGAAGGCCGCTCCAGAGAAGGTGTGTGTCTATATTAAAGACGTCTTTCAGTGATTTTTGAACTTTTACTGTTGAAAAAGCGATATCCCAAGTATAAATACAGTAAAGTACACACACTAAAGGGTAAAAAATATATTTATTTTTTTGACAATTGCAAACTTCAAGGAGTAGGGCATTCAAGGAGTTGGTCTGATGGGAATCCGTGATGTCATCAGCCTCCCACCTTACTAGAGGAGCAATAGAGAACAAAAGAGGAACGGCCCACTTGTGATGTCATGACATACCTGGACCACCTATTGAGATGTTCCCTTTTGTTAAGGAAATCAGCTGTTAAATGAGGTGAGGAGGAGACTGGAGTAGGACTTTAAGGAACTCACAGGCTTGGCGCTGGTGAAGGCCGCTCCAGAGAAGGCGTGTCTGTCGAGCACCAGACTGATGCACTGCTCAAACTTCTCCCTGAGGATAAAGGAGTAGTCATTATCTCTGTCACATTCACAACATCTAATGACCTTATTACAGGAAGGCAGCTCATCATAACACAATCCATTCTGATGTGATCTTAGCTATTGAATGGTCAATGCCTCTCTGTGTGTGTGTGTGTGTGTGTGTGTGTGTACAGTGCATTCAGAAAGTATTCAGACCCCTTGACTTTTTCCCTTTGTTACGTTACAGCCTTATTCTAAAATTGATTTTAAAAAATTATCATCCTCAGCAATCTGCACACAATACCCCATAATGACAAAGCGAAAACAGGTTTTTAGACATTTCTGCACATAAAAAAAACAACAAAAAAAAAACACCTTACTTACATAAGTATTCAGACCCTTTGCTATGAGACTCGAAATTGAACTCTGGTGCATTCTGTTTCCATTGATCATCCTTGAGATGTTTCTACAACTTGATTGGAGTCTACCTGTGGTAAATTCAAATGATTGGACATGATTTGGAAAGGTACACACCTGTCTATATAAGGTCCTACAGTTGAAAGTGCATGTCAGAGCAGAAACCAAACCATGAGGTCGAAGGAATTGTCCGTAGAGCTCCGAGACAGGATTGCGCTTGCAGTTTGCCAAAAGGCACTTAAAGACTCTCAGACCATGAGAAACAAAATTCTCTGGTCTGATGAAACCAAGATTCAACTCTTTGGCCTAAATGCCAAGCGTCACGTCTGGAGGAAACCTGGCACCATCCCTACGGTGAAGCATGGTGGTGGCAACAACATGCTGTGGGGATGTTTTTCAGCGGCAAGGACTGGGAGACTAGTCGGGATGGAGGCAAAGATGAACAGAGCAAAGTACAGAGAGATCCTTGATGAAAACCTACTCCAGAGTGCTTAGGACCTCAGACTGAGGCGAAGATTCACCTTCCAACAGGACAACGACCCTAAGCACACAGCCAAGACAACGCAGGAGTGGCTTCGGGACAAGTCTCTGAATGTCCTTGAGTGGCCCAGCCAGAGCCCAGACTTGAACCCGATCCAACATCTCTGGAGAGACCTGAAAATAGCTGTGCAGCAACGCTCCCCATCCAACCTGACAGAGCTTGAGAGGATCTGCAGAGAAGAATGGGAGAAACTCACCAAATACAGTGTGCTAAGCTTGTAGCGTCATACCCAAGAAGACTCGAGGCTGTAATCGCTGCCAAAGGTGCTTCAACAAAGTACTGAGTAAAGGGTCTGAATGCTTATGTAAATGTGATATTTCAGTTTATATTTTATTATAAATTAGCACACATTTCTAAAAACCTGTTTTTGATTTGTCATTATGGGGTATTGTGTGTAGATTGATGAGGGGAAAAAACGATTTAATCAATTTTAGAATAAGGCTGTAACCTAACAAAATGTGGAAAAAGACAAGGGGTCTGAATACTTTCTGAAGGCACTGTATATAAAATAGGTATTTGTACCGAACCGTTCGGTACGGGACCTCTGTTCGGTCCGCACTGTGAAACCGAATGAATACATAAAAAAATTAAAACCACTAGGCCTATAAGCTATGCCTACACTGCGTTGTCTCATATGCCAGAAACTAATCATGTACAGTCGTGGTCAAAAGTTTTGAGAATGACACAAATATTAATTTTCACAAAGTCTGCTGCCTCAGTTTTTATGATGGCAATTTGCATATACTCCAGAATGTTATGAAGAGTGATCAGATGAATTGCAATTAATTGCAAAGTCCCTCTTTGCCATGAAAATGAACTTAATCCCCCCAAAAAACATTTCCACTGCATTTCAGCCCTGCCACAAAAGGACCAGCTGACATCATGTAAGTGATTCTCTCGTTAACACAGGTGAGAGTGTTGAGGACAAGGCTGGAGATCACTCTGTCATGCTGATTGAGTTAGAATAACAGACTGGAAGCTTTAAAAGGAGGGTGGTGCTTGAAATCATTGTTCTTCCTCTGTTAACCATGGTTACCTGCAAGGAAACACGTGCCGTCATCATTGCTTTGCACAAAAAGGGCTTCACAGGCAAGGATATTGCTGCTAGTAAGATTGCGCCTAAATCAACCATTTATCGGATCATCAAGAACTTCAAGGAGAGAGGTTCAATTGTTGGGAAGAAGGCTTCAGGACGCCCAAGAAAGTCCAGCAAGCGCCAGGACCGTCTTCTAAAGTTGATTCAGCTGCGGGATCGGGGCACCACCAGTGCAGATCTTGCTCAGGAATGGCAGCAGGCAGGTGTGAGAGCATCTTCACGCACAGTGAGGCAAAGACTTTTGGAGGATGGCCTGGTGTCAAGAAGGGCAGCGAGGAAGCCACTTCTCTCCAGGAAAAACATCAGGGACAGACTGATATTCTGATATTCTGAAAAAGGTACAGGGATTGGACTGCTGAGGACTGGGGTAAAGTCATTTTCGCTGATGAATCCCCTTTCCAATTGTTTGGGGCATCCAGAAAAAAGCTTGTCCGGAGAAGACCAGGTGAGCGCTACCA